TTTTTTTTTTTTTTTTTTTGTCAACCAGTAAGTTAAAATGTCTGATAATTTTTCATAACTTAATTGGGTCATTATGAAATCATACAAGTTTTGTGTTATTGCTTTAATGTAATCGTTTTATTCTCTAGTGGTGTACTGAGAGGTGACCCAGAAGATGGAGCAGTTTTTTGCACAAAAGGAAAGACTTATGAGGTTAGTTCCTATTATTTCATTGTTATTATTGCTACAGCTTTATTAACATCAAAATATCTGATTCACAGAAACAGTGTAGATAGAACAGTAGGAAAGTATAATGTTCAGCTTAAAAAATGTGGTTTTTAAACTGACACACATTGCTAGCATTAGTACAAAACAGTATATAAGGAGTATTACAGGTCCGAGAAGCAGAAACATCAAATTCTTTGGTGTTAGTGCCGCAGCTGTCCTTCGCAGATAGTCTGGAGAAATCAGGGGAGCGGAAGATTCAGAATAGTCAAGTGAGTCAATACAGTTATTTTGTACTTTCTCGAAAACTGTAATTTTTGTATTTGTTTTGTATTTTTGTATTAATATTTCTTGTATTTCTCTTGTTAGAGTATGTATGGCTGTTGTTTTTGTCAGTTGGAGAAACTGTGCACATCTGTCAGAGAACTTTTTAGGTCATTGCAGATTATATATTATCTTACTTATCTGTGCAAACTATTTTAACCAATGTGTTTGTAATAATGTATCATATGTTGCAGTTGTCAACAAGTTTCTATTTCTATACTGCAATAAATAATCATCTAGAACTTTTTATATAATAACTTTTTAGCTGTTTTTAAAACAATAATTCTTGCAAAAATCTATAAACATTTTAGGTTGTAAATGACAATTACAATTTCAGGTTTGTGGCATCCATTACACATATTTAGAACTGAGACCATGCAAACCGCGTATCCAGAAGCTCCGTGTGCTATTAGCAGAGAGGCCCTACTCTGGACCAGATGCTCAGGAAGAGGAAGGAGATGGCCAGAAGTATGTACTATTTATAATGTTTATATTTTACATCAAAAATGGATTTTTTTGGTTCCTGTTCAGTGTTTTAGAAAAATGATGTTGCTGAGAATAATTATTGAAAATATACTTTTGTGATTTTTTTTTTTTTTTTTTTACTAGTTCATGCTTTGTAAAGGTTAGTCTTAGTACCAAATTATTTGACTGCTCTTCCTTTAGGGTTTTAAAGTTGCCTAGTACTTCAGAAATGTTTCCTTGTACATAGCTTTCATGTCACAAGAAAAGGTCCGACAGAATATAGTGTCCCATAGCATACATGAAAAATAAAACTTGCAGTAAGCCAGCAACTATTTTATGATTTAGTTGCAGTCTTACTCATACATAGTATTTTTACAGTCCCCTTCATTTCTACAGTACAGCATTTATTAAGAAAATGTTGAGCCTTGCCATCCTGTTCCTATATCAAGATGTTGATTAAATAGCAAGGGTGATATGAGATGGATCATTATGTCCACCTTGTTGTTTACATAAACCTTGTTCTTAGCATTATAACTCAAGCCATATTAAAAGCAGCAAGGACATACTTCATGGAAAAACCTGAATTGCTTTTATTGATAGAAGTTGCAGGACTTTGCTTAGAGCAAAGACAAGGACTAAAGGTTAACTTCATTATAAGGCATGTTTTATTGAATTGCGACTATGTAGAACACTGTGCCATCCTCATTTCAGATATTGTTGGAATGACCTGCTTGACCGCATCCAGTGCAGTGAGGAGGAACTGGATAAAGCACTCTTAGAGATGGAGGCTTATCACTTATATGGTATAATTTCTTTATATTTGATTTATTTTGTATTTGTTCTTTAAAATTATTTCCCTTCTCTCCATATGATAAAAGTACATGGATTCATATGTCATTAAATCATGTCAGCATGACCAAAATTATTTTGAAACATTTGGGTAGGTGAAGATTATATTCTTTCCGTCTATTTCAGGATTTTGGCAAGTCCTGGAGTTTGATTATAGATTCAAAGTTGTATCCCACATTCTCAATTTAATTGAAGAGAAGAGCTTGCCCCTAGATGGAATTCCTCGCATTTCAACCATTAAGGCGCTTAGTGAGCTTGAACCCCGTCCTGTAATTACACAGTGTTTTGATTACTATTTGAAACCTACAGGTGTTGACACAGATGATGGTAAGATGTTAGATTTTTTTCTTTTTTTTCTTGGTCGTCTTTGATTGCTAGTGTCTTAGTTATGTTAGTATTACTGTTTATTTATTTGCTGTTATTGATGTTAAGGTTATTATTATTGATGTTGTTATTACTATTATAATTATTACAGTTAGTAGTAGTAGTAGTAGTAGTAGTAGTAGTTGTTGTTGTTTTTGTTGTTGTTGTTGTTGTTGTTGTTATTGTTGTAGTTGTAGATGTAGTTGTAGTTGTAGTTGTAGTATATGATTTTAATTATTACCATTATCATTCTGATTTTCATTATCATAATAGTAAAGATGGTATTAATTTATGATATTATTTATGATAAGCTTTTCTCTATTTTTTTGTTTAATTTTGGCAATAGAAGGATTAATTAATAGTACCTATACTGAATATTGATAAGAGGCTTTAATTTTCTTATTAGTCTTAATAATTTTTCCTGAGTGATGATTTTACTTACTTTTCAATTAAAAAATATAGTAGTGGTGCTATTTACAAGGCTTTGCAGATACAGCAACTATTTCTAAATGTCTAGACTTTAAACAATGTTTTTATTTTTTTCACAAAACAATCAGCATGAAGTTACTGTACAATTTGGTGAACATGTAGCTTATTATTGATATATATTAATCTGATCTTAGGCATCCTTTATTGACTTTTCTGTATTTTGCAGGTGACTCGTTTTATACTTTGATTGATGACAAAATATGCCGTATCTGTGCTGAGGTCCTCCTCAAGCCTGCAGGGAAGTTTAACTTGAGCGAATTCCTTAGTATTTGGCAACAGAGTGTTCCAGAAGGTATGTCTGGTTGGCTTTGAGGGTATATTTTAATGCTCTAAAGATTCCTGGAATTCAGTTATTTTTGACATACAGTTTTGTCTAATATCATGCATTAGGTAACTATTAATATGTTATACCGCAGAATGAGGTATGTCATCATGGTGTTTGTGAAAACTATTTCTGCTTTTTTCCGTAGGTCTTACAACAAACCTAAGTCAATTGGAAGGTCTGGCACTGGTTGACCGATCTTCAACACCAGAAGTGATATCACATTTCCCTGTATCCAGTATGCCACAAGATATACACGAGAGATTTAGTTATCTCTTTGAAACTCGAGAGAGGTGGACGCTGGATGAAATCAGACCCTATGTTATGTAAGTTTTTAAGTTTTTGTTGAGTGTTTTAGATATATGTTAAAGATTTCAGATACGTTGTTTGGCATTATGATATTTAGTGCATCATACTCTAGGAATTATATGTTAATTGTACAACTGTATATTATTTATTCCATGGTTATATTATATAACCACAGTGTATATTGCTACAGTGCACACCTTATTTTAGCCAAGTATAGAATTATGAGTAACCTTATTTTTAAAATTTTCAGGGACTTGGCTGGTGAGAAGACTCCAGTTAATGCTATCTTGACGAAATATGCAAGAGCCTCTACGCAGAATGGTATCAAGTATTATTCAGGAAAACACGCTAGATAGACCAATTTACATATTGAATTTATGATTTCTTTCTTTCTTGTTCTTCCGGTAAAGTGTACAATAGTATTCATAGTACTTCAACAATGCCAATTATGTTTGCATTTAATAGCATTGCTACATGAAGAGATGGGAAGATATTTTGTTGCAAGAGATAGACAACTAACAATATATATTTTTTCTAATGATGCAAAAAATATCTAAATTACAAACACACGAAGCTTAAGAAATATATGCACTAATATACTTGGGCCTTTGTTATAAAATACTTATAATTTTGTTTATAGTCTTTATTTTACCCTTCTTGACAAAAAAGAGAAGAAACAGGGCTGGGAAGAATGATAGCCATATATGATTTTCTGAATAAATAAATTTCTTGATGTTCTTATTAAAAATATTATGTGTCAAACAGTTTTCAAAAATCTTATGTGAAGAGACTATTATTGTTACATCTACAGTTGCAAATATGAAAATTCATCTTTCATAAAACAAATACTTTTATAAAGAAAATATTGAAAAAAGATTAAAAAGAAACAGCTGTAGCACTTTTTTGTAAAAGTGTCAGATCTTATGAAATGAAGCATTAATAAAAAAATTTCTCCCTCTCACTTTCTCACTCTCGCTCACTCACTCACTCACTCATTCACTCACTCTATCTGTCTCTGTATCTCTCTCACACTCTCTCTCTCTCTCTCTCTC